ATAATGTTGCTACTGTATCGATATTGTCTAGCATCTCCTGCAGCGCAAACTTTGTATACATTTAACATAGACTGAATGCGAGCGATTTGTCTTTTTCTCTATTTGTGTGAGACCCGGAAGTTCTGGCTAATTTCCAGGTTCCATGTTATTCGACTGCATTTTGTGGCTTCTTCATACAAGCTTTGCAAATAGGTCCAAATCTGCCATCCACTAGCTGTGATCGTTTGCAGTTTGGACATGAGTACGAAAGACCACGTATAAATACGTTTAAATAATGTCAAAGCTGTATGTCTGACATACTGCAAGATAAATCACGTCGGTCTATCTCTTGCATTACTTGCTGTTGACTCGTTGTTTGTTCATTGGTCAACAGTCATATTTTGTCTTCTTTGTCTGAAATAAAATGTATCGGTTGTAGTACAGTCGATTCTTGCTCTCGTTCTTCGCGGCATTAGAATATGTAGTTATACGCTACGCTGTTGTTTATAAGGTACACAGATAAGGAAGAAGCTGACCTAGGCTCAAATTTCTTTTCTAAATTCGCTAATAATTGATTCGTAATCTGATTTATCTTTACCGCGAGCCAAGATTCAGACTGTTCATTCTCTCCATGCGTACAGTACCTGACGGGCGAGTGTCGATGGCCGAGTTCAAGCTCACAACCCAATTTCGCGTTTTTCCTGTTAACTGTTCGATTGTCTCCTCTCGCGTCGCGATTTTTAAAAAATCTAAAAGGAATAATAATACCAATTGCACCATTTTTGTCACCCAGAAGATACAGATCATTGTACCATATTTTTACTTTCCCGGCTGTTATGGCAATCGGTCAAAAAATGACTCCCCAGATTTTTACATTTTTGGACTTAGAACACCATGAAACGTCCAGAAATGCAAACAAATTTGGGGTATTTTCTGTATGTATGGATGTGTGTGGGGGATGATTTTATTAACTCTTTTTGGAGCTTAATAACTCCTGTGCTTTTTGTTGAAAATTTCTGAAATATTGCAAGAAGGTTTGTGTATTAAGAAGATTGTTGTTTTTAAATTTTCTTGGTTAAAGGTCGAGGAGGTGTGGAGATAATGGCAATCGTGCGTATCTTCAGTAGTAATGAAAAGTCCTGCTACCGAGAATGTCTTTTCCGATTCAATTGATATGGGCGGAGTCGTCTTTAATGCATTTAAGAAAAGACAGATGTTATGTGTTTTTTTCACCTGTAACCTGAAAAATTTCTCGTTCGTTTTCGAGATTTGTTGCATTACTTCTTTTGCTGTCTAGTATTCTTGATTTGTCTATTTCAGCTGTTTTAATAGCAGCATCGAGCTTATAGCCCGATAATTCGGCAGTTCATTTGGCTTTAATAATCAGGTTTATGAAGAAAAACTTCATACTTGCATACTTCATACTTGTCTGATCCTTGCCCAATTTGCGCAACCTGTCATAATGCAGTTATTGATGCTACTGGGCATGGTTATAAATTAAGATAGCATCAGCGCAATTATTCAAGGTTCTAACAAGTACTGAATTTTCAGAGTCTGTCACAAACAGGCTACAAATTGACAATCTGTGACATGCCATAACAAGCAAAACATTAAAAAATTAAGCTGGCTTAAAATTAATAAATACAAATGTATTCTGACAGTTTATCAGTTAATTATATTTGCAAAATTTCCTCAACCTTAACACGAAATAAGAAAAAGTGAACTTTTAGAAATTTGAGAAATTTCCCGGAATGAA